TATATCATTTTTTCCTAAATAATAATAGATTATTAAAATATTAATAATATAGAATAATTTTTCTAAGTAAATAAAATATATAATTATACAATAAATATTATAAAAGGAAAATAATAAATTTATCTAAAAAGAGAAAAAAATCTTATTATCTCACGATGAATTAATATTATAAAAATAAAATAAAATACTTTATAAAAAATATAACACTTGAATACTGTTATTTATCATTAAAGTTTAAATAAAAAATATTTAATTATATATATATATATATATATATATATTAAAAAAATGAGATCATAAAAAAATTTAGGGGGACCGAGGCCCCCGAGTCCCTTGGTATATCTGTCCTGTATGTCTGAACACTCATTTTTTGTTTAAAAAACTAAAATAAAAAAATTAAAAAGGATACTAAAATGAAGAAGAAGAAAAAAAGGATAAGCAAAACTGAAGAAAACTGACTTTAATTTTTCTTTTTCAAAATCATAAAATTAAAAAAGAAAGAAATGGTGCATGTCCATTTTGGGATTAAGCATTAGTGATCTTTCACATTATTCTTTTCTTTTAGGTGTTTATGGTCCAACAGTGTCCAGTGGAAACATGACCAACCTCTCCATGCTTGCATACTAAGATATGATAAAGCCTCACCAGTCAGTCACTACTCAGTACTCACCATCTTTCATACTCCAGAATAACTCACCATGCACGTACAACAACTTTTCTCCATCATCACATAGCCATGTGCAGTAGAAGAATTATTGCACCTCTCTCTCGACCCTAAACCACCAAGTCCTATATATATATACATCAAGGAACCAACAAACAACACATTCTAGTATTATTTTTCTTTGGGTTAATACATCATTTATAGGTATTAAATTGTTATATACATGAATGATTACATGAAATAAAGGATTAAATATGTTTTTTCTGTCTTTAAATTTTTACAATTTTCATTTTTAGATCATGAATAATTTTTTTTTTATTAGTTTTAGTTTATGAACTTTACTGATTTCTACTTTTAATCGCGGAACACTTTTTCTTTGGTTAATATTTTGGTTCCTGTGTGTGGTGTCAAGTTTTTGTTCATGCATGAAAAAGAATTTTAAGGACTAAAACAACATAAAATTTGTTCAATGATTAAAAGTGAAAATTAGCTAAAGTTTAAAAACTTAAAATATATTTAATCCTGAAATGATAATGTAATGTTGGGTTCTAGATATGATGAGATAAAAAATATTGAGTAATGTTACATGTACAACAAAAAATTATACATCAATTTAGATAACAATATTATTTTTGTGTTTATCTCTTTATCATTAATAAATTTTTCTTTCAATAATAAATAAAGTACTAAAGATAAATAGATATAAAAGTAATGTTGTGATTATTGTTTTCCATGTAGCATTACTAAAAATTATCATGTCCAATTTATTGATTGTTAACAAACTTCTAACAGTTGGAGACTAAATTATAAAAAGAATGGATTTAATAAAAACTTTTTTTAGTTTAGGAAATTAACTAATTAATTCTTTAAAAATTTAGAAACCCAATGATAAGTTTACGTTTAAAATATGAAAAATATATATAATATAATGACAACTTAGTATAAACGACTTTAAATATGCTCTTCTGATTTGATTTGGTTATTTCAAAAGCTATATATAAAAAATAATGATAACCAACTTAAACATATTTCTAGCTAGAATTAAAAATATTTTAAAATTTAAATTACAAAATTTTAACATACAAAACATTTTCTACTAAAGAACTACATAACTCCAACTCTCTATTTTACTTACAAATACATAAGATTAGGAAGATCAATATTGTCAAGATAAAAGGAAAAGATATAATAACAATAATTTTTCTACATAATGATAATAATATATTATTCTTCTTCTTTTTAATAATACAAATATGTTTTGAATAATAAAATAAATTGTTTGAGAAAATAATACTAATGAATGAAAAATAGAATATCATGCTTTTTTTAAGAGTATAATAATGATTTTTAAAGTTATTTAAATTTTATACATTTATTTAAATGTACGTCTTTAAGAATAAAAAAAATAACGAGATAATCGTTTTTAATGATCTCACGGGTGTAAACACTTATTATCTGTCCAAAAATCTTTTTCCTTTTCTATACACTGAGGACCACCTTTACATTCATAAAATTACAAAAAAAAAATATAAAAAAAAATCATGAAACAACCTTGAAAACTATGTAAATTAAAATGATGTTGTTAAAACAACTCATCAATTGTTTTACATATATGATCTTTCCTGAAATTTGTTATTATCTAATCTAGTTTCATCTCAAAAGCTCACAAACAATATTGAGTATATCTAATAATTGAAGTCTTCTACGCACATGTTAATGTATAATATACAACTTTATATATATATATATATATATAT